TATATATATATATATATATATATATATATATATATATATATATATATATATATATATATATAATATATATATATATAGGCAAAGTCATGGGGAATATATACATTTGCTGTCGACCCTCCAAACACCCATCTGCTATATGTATACAGGATGTGTACTGAGAACGTTTTCCTCTTACTATAAACAGTACGTGGCTCAGGCTCTGTTTGTCTCAGTCCACATTACGTGACCGGCATGTCTACACGTTAACTTAGACAGCCGTGCCAACCAGCGATGTTGTGGGGTCGGGTGGCGTAGCGGCAGCGCGCTCGACTCGGAACCAAGAGGTTCCGGGTTCGAGTCCTGACATGCCACCGATCATATGCCCTTGAGAAAGGCACTTTGCACGACTTTCCTGAGTATTGTCTTGTCCTGTATTCGTCCCCTGCGTTGGTGGTGGCATAAAATAAGTTGATATTACTTATGTGTGCTGTCGCCTTGTCTAGTTATGAACTGTTGGCATTCATAGCGATGTTGTTACCTTCACCAAGAAGGTTATGTTTTCAGTAGCGTTTGTCCGTCTGCTTGTCTGTCTGTCTGTTTGTGAACAGCATAACTCAAGAAGGAGGAACAAGTGCTACATTACTGCGTTACGTCTATACAGTATCTACAGGATCTATTCTCTCTTTTTGAAACAAGCATGAACAAATTTACATACTATAGTTTTTTCATTTACATCGTATAATTCCTGGATGTCATGATAAAATGTGAATTAATGTGGCTTCGCTAGGTTAGATGTATAGTACTGGGTACAAGGGTAGGAGGAACACGTGCTACATTACTGTGCTACGCCTATATCTACAGGATCTCTTCTCTCTTTTCGGAACAAGCATAGTTTTTAATTTGCATACATCGTAGTTGTTGATTGGCATGATATATTTGAACAATTCTGTCTTCGGGAATTAACGTTTTTACCCACACACGGCGTGAACATGTTAACTTATGACGGAAGGTGAATTGTGGGGTCAGCGTTCGTACGTACGGTGCGTGCGCCAAGTGTGACGTAAGGTTAAGTATACAGAAGTAACAGCCGTTATCAGCCTGTTGGTTATCAGTCCTGACATTGAGAAAAGTCACATACCGGCACGCGCGTGTAACCCTAGTTTAGATTTACACTAAAAATTACAATTGACAAAACGAGACAGACAAGCTATAATTATAGTCACTGTTCTAAAACTTTGTGTTGTTGTTTTTGCACCTGGTACCTTATTTTGTTTGCTTTGGGAAACTCTGTGGTGTTGTTTTAACCAATGATGTGGTACTTTATTTTTAACTAAAGTGCTTATTCCAGTGGTTAGCGACCCTGCCTCTGGACCGAAAGGTTGGAGGTTCGATCCCAGCTGTTGTCGCTCACCCAACATACATGCTACTGTTAAGGGTCGCAGTCTTTAGGACGGGATGTTAAAAGCTGTGGTCCACTGTTCATTGTGCTTGTCGAAAAGAGCTAGGGGAATTTCCCCAGTACAATGAACTTGTAAATACTGTACATAGCGTCTGTCTTCTCTGACACGACCAGTGGAAGATTAAATGAGCTAAACTGGATCGAGATCACTTTTACTTTTTATCACTTTAACTCATTGCTGTTGTTTTGACACCCCCCCCCCCCGCACACACAGGCTGTCCTGGGTAAAGCCGGTGTGTTCCTCGGCCTGCTGACGTACTCCGTCCTGCAGCTGTTCGCTCAGTCCCTCCCCCTGACTGCCATCTACTCCTACCTCCCTACTGCTGACGACAGGTAGTTATGATACCTTAGTCTCTTTTAGGCTTCGGGAGGCGGCTGGAAAGAGTAGAAGTCGGCAAAATAAAGCTAAGGTCCCAATTGGGAAAAGGGGCCCTGGCGGGTAGTTCCCGGGCTGTTTTTTTACCACTTTCGGGCGGGACCCCGACGTGGCCCCGCGGGGCACCCTGCGGCTACCGGGATATTTTTTGGTCCCGTCGGGGCCCCGATAAGAATTTAATTCTGAGTTAAATTCTACCCGGGCCCCGCTAACAACAAGACGCCGTGACCTCATCGTGAGAACACCGGGAGGTACCCCTCCGGTTGCCGGCATTCCACCGGGACACATTTCTTACGTCACAGACCAGATGAACAGAATAAAGGTGTGTACTTCGTAAACCCGGGTAAAATGTGTGACCTCACAGATCAAATGATCACAACAAATACGTGAATTCTGCATTACATATAGGTCAATACAAGACATCGTCAGAGAATCTGCTGGGTACCTGCCGGGTGCCTGCCGGATACCGACCAAAGAGGGTGACAAAATTTCTAACAAAATGCTACTGAAGGAAACTTTTAATTGTGACCACGACAGACGATGCCCGCTCGACTCCTGAACCCGGCCGGGGCCAGACGGGGCTACATCCCCGACGGGCACCGGCGTAATTGGGACCTTAGCTTAAGAGAGATAGCATGCCGGGGGTGCGGCAAACTGTTGTCTCCCAGCAGACCAACTCCCCTGGATTGCTATCTCTCTTATTTGGCGGATTTCTACTCTTTCCGACCGCCTCCCGAAGCCTGGTAGAGGCTAATGATGACTGTAATTTATATAGATATTGTATCCAGACCATGCTCAGGCACCGTACTGGGTAGTCCACACGTATCCAGAACCGTGCCTGATCCTAACCCTAACCCATTCAGGCATGGAACTAGACAGGCAGAGTTCTGGATGAAATAATACTGTTTATGAACTTTTCATACACTGTACCAGTTAGTATTGTTGTGGAATAAATCTGATTGATTTTTATTTATTTGTTTGTTTGTTTGTTTGTTTGTTTGTTTGTTTTGATGACAGCTTGGCGGCTCTCCTCCTGCGTCTGGTCCAGAACACGGTAACGCTCTGCGCATGCGTCAGTGCGTCTGTCTGCGTCAGAGTCGTCTTGGCGGTCTGCTTCGGGCTCACCAGGTTCTGTTTGTTTATTCATTTCTATTTTCTTTTAGCTTAGGATGAAACATTGCATGTCTTTACGTATACACTGCTTACATTTACCCTACACATACAGAGTCGTACTCATGCATACACAAGTAAGGGAAAATAAACAAGCGAACTAGAATTAAACTAGTCTCCAACAGAATCCTTTGCAGGCTTAATAAATAGTAGAAATCGGCATAAAAAGAATGTAGTTGGCCATAGAGGGTCCAGTTTGCCTGCAAATAAAGGAGTCTGGCGGAGACTAGAATTAAGCTATGTACATTTAAGTGTCAAATCCAAGTTAACGTTTCGCCACAACATCTGTTATGTAGTAATAGTATGTCTATCTGAATTGTAACTGACACCGTTAACTGTTAACTGTTCCGAATTGTTTATGTTATTGTTGTGAGGGCTAGCCCTTTATAATAGCCTCCGGCTAGTTGGGCAGTCCTGGCTGCATACATGAGTGTTATCAGCCTAATAAATCAAATCAAATCAAATCAAATCAAGTTCCAACCCATGTTCCAGGTTCTTAGTAGACGTCTTGGCGACGGTCTGGTTCTTCTTCGCCACCGCCAAGGAGTCTCTTCTCGGGGGAGTTCTGAGACGTTTTAGAAGGTAAGGTGTATGTTTCAAGCAAAGTTAACATCGTGTGTATTTGTACCGTTTTTGACAGCTAGGCAGTGTCGTCGTGTTTTGAATGTTGAATGCAGAATACACACCTTAGTTGTTTGTTTGTTTCCAAAGGGTCTGGAGCCTTGAGTTCATCAGTTCATACCTGGAAAACTGCGTTTTTGCCCGGCGAAGATCTGCTTCCAGAGGCGACGATACCGACAGTGAAGACGACACCAGTGGCAGCGAAGACGAGACGCAGTTCAGGTTCGGCAGAGACTCCTCCTCCGTCCTTTCCGACAGACGCCCGTTCCGGGGCCGGACTCTGCTCCTGCTGTTCTTCGGCGTTCCCATGGTGATGATGTGGGCCGTCCTCCTCATCCTGCCCAACATCAGGACCGGGCTGCGCAGACGGCTCAGGAACAGGAGAGAAGCTAGCCGCACAGTGGTGACCGCACATTCAGAACTGAGATGTGTTGGCACCCAGAAAGCGCGCGAACGTACCGAACTGTGCAAAGGAAAAACAAAAAGGGAGCGGTGCGCGGTGTGTCTGGATAAGAAGAGTAGCGTTAGGCTGAAGCCGTGTGGACATGACAGGCTGTGCCAGCGGTGCGTCACCAGGATCATGGACCCGGACTATCAGTACTCGGGGATCTGTCCGCTGTGCAGGACTAACGTTACGGAGGTTGTCACGCCGTCAAACGTGTTCGGACAATAGAAGAGTTGCGTGTGGGTAATAAAGTGCGGTCGGTATTGTACCCAGAACCGTGCCTGTCTAGTTGTATGCCTGAATGGGTTAGGGTTAGGATCAGGCACGGTTCTGGATAGTCCCTATTGTATCCAGAACCGTGCCTGTCTAGTTCTATGCCTGAATGGGTTAGGGTTAGGATCAGGCACGGTTCTGGATAGTCCCTATTGTATCCAGAACCGTGCCTGTCTAGTTGTATGCCTGAATGGGTTAGGGTTAGGATCAGGTACGGTTCTGGATAGTCCCTATTGTATCCAGAACCGTGCCTGTCTAGTTCTATGCCTGAATGGGTTAGGGGGAGGATCAGGTACGGTTCTGGATAGTCTCCGCGTATCTAGGAACGTAGATCTACCACGAGCTCGGTTCTGGATACGTGTGGACTATCTACATGTACTTTTAGAGATAACAGAATACGTTGTAGGTGCTAGTAACTCAGTCGACTCTATTCCCGAGATCAAAAAGGCGCCATTGCAATTGCTGCTAAACAAAGAAAATGACGATGATACAAACATCTAGCACTGAGATATCGAAATTGTTGCTGTCTTCTTTTGATAACTGACGAATGTATATTTATCTATCAGTACTTGTATTCAAACAAATTTGCAAGAATGTTACTAGTATATAATTTGTCGCTTCGCATCATTGTCTATACCATAATATGTCAGAATGATGGCCAATAAGCCATATGCAATGTTCCCCGCAATAAAGAAACGATGTGCAATACCCAAAGTGAAAACAGATACAATATATAACCATACAAATAACTGCCCTGTCGTCATAAAATCTAACGAGGTTTTCTTGTGTAAGATAGGGCAATTACTACCTATGAACATATACATATCTCCCTCTCTGTCAATATTTCTTTCTCTCACTACCTCTTTCGATTAATCTCAAGATCTCGCTACCTCGCTACCTTTCTATCTTTCTATGATCTGCATGTGTGTGCCTATCACGGTCCCTGTTTCTCCATCTCCCCCCCTCTTTTTCCTTCCTTCTTCTCTTTCCTTCTTTCTGTTTCTCTCTCCCTCTCTTTCTTAGCAACTACCAGGCTTCGGGAGGTGGCTGGAAAGACTAGAAATCGGCCAAATAGAGAGATAGCATGCCGGGGGAGTTTGTCTGCTGGAGAGAACAGTTTGTCGCTCCCGTTTCGGCAGACCAACTCCCCCGGCATGTTATCTCTTTAGTTGGCCGATTTCTAGTCTTTCCAGCCTCCTCCCGAAGCCTGGTAGAGGCTAGTTCTTTCTATCCCTCTCTAGTTCTCTCCCTCCCTCCGTCATTTATCGCCATCCCGCTGCCTGGCCAGCACACAGATGAACCCTGCGAACAGGCCGAGGGCAATGACCCCGATATAACCCATGGCCTTGTCCAGCCGCGGCTCTAACTCTGGGTACGAGGCGTTCACGTGAACGAACACCAGGCAGGGCTTGTACCCAGGGTACCGTGCGGAGCCGTTATACGTGCCACTGATAGAGTACGTAAAGTCGTCAATATCTTCTATGTGGCAGTGAAGCTTGTACTCAGTATTGTTGGTATTGGGTGTTTGGGAGCTGATACAAACACCAAGGACGGGTGTGCGCATGTGCATGACTCGTTCCCACTCGGAGTTCTTTCTCTTGCGCGGTGCACTCTGGGTAATCCGACAGGTGTCGTCATCGGATGAAGAAACGTTCGCGCATGCGCAGTCCGCATCGTGGTAGGCATTGTAAACGCAGGAAATGTTAAGATGGCAGCAAAACGCAGGACAAAGTCGAGACGCAACCTTCTCAGCATTGTTGTCAGAACTCGTGTGTGACTCTCCTATACCTTTGGTAGTCGAAGCCATTGTATTATAAAAAGGTGTGCTATGCAAGCCCCCATCATTAACAGCCGTCCTCTGAGTTATCAGTGGTACGTTTGAGAAGTTTTCTGTTGTCTTCTGTCGGTACGGAACTTTGTCAGCACTGTTGTCAAAAATAACTTTGTTGGTCGTACCCATTTGGTCGTAAAATGGCACGCGACGGAATCCTTCGTCGTTTCCAGCCATTTTGTTAGCTGCGTGTGTTGCGTTTGAGGCGTTAAGCGTATTTTGTTCGTAGGTAACCTTGTCAGCATTATTGTCAAAACGCGTTTGTGACTCTGACTCTCCTGTACCTTTGCTTGTCGCAGCCGTTTGGTCGAAAAATGACCCCCGAAGATAGCTTCCATCTCTTACAGCCATGTCCTTTATAGCTGCATGTGTTGCGTTTTCAATATTTGGTACCTTCTGCCTGCCCCGGTTGTGTCCGTTACCGTGCCGTATGGTGTGTTCTGACGTGCCGTGCCTTACTGTGAGTGCTAGGGTCGAGTGCATGACAACCCAGGCCAACAACATTTGTAACATCCGAGTCATGTTGTAGTTTAGTTTTTCGACTCTCTGAAATTGCAAAGAAATACGCCATTAGAGATAACCATCAGTTATAACTATCAGTAAAAGCAGCATAGCGAGGAATTGACAAGAAAGACGCGTAGACTGTGTGTAGCTTGAGTATTCTATGAAGAATACTCGGGTAGGGCAATAGCAAAATGTAGATGAAGCCCCCCTCCCCACCACACACACTCACCGCCATCCTATAGAATTTGAAACTGTAGAACTCACGCACAAACAAGAAAATACTGCACGTTCTCTCGTCAAATACACAAACCCTTGAAAGAAACCTACTAACCTACACACATACCTCAATCTGTTTTGATGTCTTTAAAAGATCTTCCAAAATTTCCAAAAATGACTTAATCAAGAAAACGTCCCTGTGTCTGCATGAGGAAACTATTCTGAACCAGGTGAAAACCACGACAGGAATGCGCATCAATATTTCATGGATTTATTCAGGAATGCGAACCCTGTCAGATAAAACTTTACGAGTTTTTCATCAGTATGCAATATACAAAATTAAGACTTACAGTATTCTGCGACATACATACTAGTTTGACCAACAGTATTGGCCATCCAGTGACAGAAGAGAAAGCATGAGCCTGTAATGTCCCATAGAATTCAAGCCTGGTGCCAAGACCTGTTTTAACTGTGGAGAGGACGAAAGAGACTCGGTAGTTTGGACACCTGGCTACTAGACTTTGGCTAAGCACACCATGTTTCCCCTACTCTTATAGATAAGTATGTTGGGTTATTTTTCGGTGTTTTATGTCCAGTTGTTCAGTCCGGATAAGGCAGCCCCTGGTGACCTGTGTCGGGTTGGTGTTGGACCAGGCGTCTGTGCGGCTCCTTCGGCGCCATGTAGGGAGGAGGCGCGGAACTCGGATCAGCCGAGTACGCGGGGGGAGGGTGCAAGGTGTACGGAAGATCCGCGTACGGCAGGGATGATGACGTGTGCGCAGAGAGCTCTGACGTGTACGGCAGGGATGATGACGCAGGGTACAGTTGCGGGTACGCCTGCATGGGGATGTGTTCACGGGGGGTCCCCTCTACACCGACTCTCGGAGTTGACGGAGACCTGTTGTTGTTGCTATAGCAACAGTACACGGCCACGCCCACCATCACCATGACGACGACCCCTGATCCCGCGGCGATCCCCACAATGGCGGCTGTGCTTAGGGATTGCGGACCTGGTAGTAAGAACGGGATGGAGGGCTTTAAATCTTTTATGAAAATTTAACCTTTAGCACACTGAAGTAGATGTTTGGCTACCAATTCTGTATTGGTCCATAGTAGGGGAAATGTTAAAACGCTATAAATACTACTCTGTATAGACACAGTGACACACAAACTCACAGCTTAGCCATCCAAAACAATACTTCCGGACCTACCGATATACTGTAGTCTGTAGAAGATTTTGAAGTTCCCTCCGGCCGCGGTGCCTCCCTCCAAGCGGATAGTCACCTCAGACGATAACCGCCTCACACGGTCTTCCTGGTAATGTATAAATAAGCCAATCAACTGTCGTATCCAGAACCGTGCTTTATGGTCCAGATAGTCCAAGCGTATCCAGAACAATGCCTGGGGCAAATCTACGTTCTTGGATACATTCTTGGAGTAGCCCATTCTGGCATAGAACTAGATATGCACGGATACAATAGATGTCTAACCTTCAGCAACCTACCTCGTAGTCGTCGATATTGGAAACTACGCCGAAGAGCAGGTTTATAAGCATGAACTAGTCGAAAAGGAAACAAAAGTAAGACAAGTGTCACTGATCGAAATGAAGAAAGATACTAGCTGAAACGTCTGACCGTTTCCAAAATTATATCCAGTAGCTTGAGGAACTGTTTTTGGCGTATCTTATTACCTGGATGTCTAACCTTTAGCGACCTACCTGATATTCGTTTAAACAGAAGCTGCGAGTGCTGGTCGTGAATTCACACGTGTACATGGCGTTCCCGTCGCACACGTGGATAGAGTCCGCACAGCCGCCCGGCATGTCGGTCAGATCAAACGGGCCGAGTTGGACGGTGTAGTCGGCGGCGGTGTAGAGGTGGGTGGCGCAGACGGTGCCGCTGTAACTCGCGTTGTTGCTGTAGACGATGTAGCCGCTGGAGTCAGGCTGCAGGTACACCGAGCTGTAGCAAGAGGGCGCTATTTCAACTACAAAAAGTAAAATATTGATCGCGTTAGGTTTGGAAAGGTAAATTGAGTTTTCAGTAACATTATTTCATTTTACGTTTACACGATGTAGCCGCTGGAGTTAGGTTGGGAAAGAACTTCAACTTGTAACATTTATAACCTCACATACACAGGAATCATTTGTGTATGTGTGAGTGAGTGTGTGGGTTTCTTTGCGTGTCGGACTCCGTACAGTCGAGTGAAAGCACGTGGGTGGGGGGAATTCTGTATCCACAGACCACAAAAGCTGAGCAGGCACAGGGAGTTCGAGAAAATGTGTTTTGCAACTTCTTCCGCAAATGTGATAATCTAAACAAATAAGTAAATAGTGGATAAACAATACCTGCGTTGCCGTAGGTGAGAAAGGATGTTGTCCGGATGCTGTGGTTAGAACATAATGTAGCGAAATGAACTGTGGCGAACTGACAGTGTAGCGGAAAGATGTAGCCAAAACGCGGCGGTATTCCCTACCTGACGCGCAGTACGTTGGGAACGTTGTCCTCTCGTCCCCATGGTCGGAGCAGTCCCGGGTTCCGTCGCACAGAAGCGAGGCTGGGATGGAGGAACCGTCGCTGCACACCCACGTGTCGCCTGCAGCTGGAGGGAGAAACGGTTTACAGAACTTTGATAAAAAACAAATAAAAAAGAGGGAAAAAGGGAATGGCAAATGTTCCACTGAGCCTGACCTGGCTAATGGTGCCGTCACTGCACCCCACGTGTCGCCTGGTCAGGGTAGGTGTATGTACGGTACTATTACTATACTTCTAGTATATTTCTTTGCCTGTACTTAGCACGATAGTACTGAATGTAGAGAGAGACAGAGACAGGGAGGAGAGAGACGGTGAGATGCAGAGACAGAGAGAGAGAGAGAGACAGACAGACAGACAGACACAGAGCGAGGGAGATAACCAGAGAGAGAGAGAGAGAGAGAGAGGGGGACAGAGAGAGAAAGAGAGAAAGACAGAGAGAAAGAAAGACAGAGAGAAAGACAGAGAGAAAGACAGAGAGAAAGAAAGACAGAGAGGCAAATAGAGACAGTGAGAGACAGGGAGAGAGAGAGATGGAGAGAAACAGAGACACAGAGAGAGAGAGAGAGAGCGAGAGAGACAGTCAGGGTGTGTGCCAGTGTATGTGAGAGGGAGAAAATGATCCGGTACCCGATGTTAAACACGCCACCTCACCGCTGCCGTCGCCACAGTTGTGTATGTTGTAGTCGGAGTGTGTACATGTGTGTGCACGTGTGTGTGTACGCGTGTGTGTGTCTGTGTACCTGTGTTTGTGTGTACCTGTGTGTGCATATGTGTATCTGAGAGAGAGAGTGAGGGAGAGAGAGAGAGAGAGAGAGACAGTCGGGGTGTATAACTCTGTGTGTGTGTGTGTGTGTGTGTGTGTGTGTGTGTGTGTGTGTGTGTGTGTGAGAGAGAGAGAGGGAGAGAGAGTGAGTGAGTGAATGAGTGTGTGAGAGATAGAAAGAACCCGGTACCTGAAGTTAAACACGACAGCTCGTCGCTGCCGTCTCCACAGTTGTCCATAGTGTCGCACCTGAGGTCGGGATGGATGCACCTGTCCGTGACGTCACAGGAGAACCCGGACTCACAGGCCGCGCCAGGGCCGAACGGGTCGGCTGGGGAGGAGAACGATAGAACACTATGCCTGAATGGGTTAGGATTTATAATAAATTAAGGCCCGGTTCTGGATAAAGCCCGGTTCTGGATAAAGCCCGGTTCTGGATAAATCACGGTTCTGGATAAAGCATGATTTTGGATAAATCACGGTTCTGGATAAAGCATGATTCTGGATAAAGCACGGTTCTGGACAAAGCCCGGTTCTGGATAAAGCCCGGTTCTGGATAAAGCCCGGTTCTGGATAAAGCCCGGTTCTGGATAAATCACGGTTCTGGATAAAGCATGATTCTGGATAAATCACGATTCTGGATAAAGCACGGTTCTGGATAGAGTATGGCTCTGGATACTCTACCTACCGTATGCCGTGTACAGGATGGTGAAAGAACCCGGGGTGGAGACGTCCGACACCAGCCGGAGCGTGAGGGTGTGATCCAGCGATGACGTGTACTCCGTGATCCCGCTGGATCCGCAGATGTCGGCGTGGATCCCGGAGGAGGAGAATCCCGTGTGGATCCCCTCGTACACGTACAGGTGATCGTAGCAGGACGATCCCCCGCCCTCGATCCGGTTCTCCAGAATCTCGATCATGATCCAGAAAACAAAACTTTAAGGTATAGATCATGAAATAGGGAGGCTTTATTACGAGACTCGAGTCTCACGTATTAAAATATCTCAGAGACTTAGCAAGAGACAAACGCAGATGGATTGAACTGTACAGAGACATACACTGATTTGGCCTGTGAAGTGTAGTTTGCTAATTGTAATCTGCTAATTTACAGCCAAGAACAGTTATTTATTATTATTTTTTATGTTTGTTTATTTTGTATGTATATGAATTAAAAAATAAGGTATAGATCTAGATAAAAAAACGATCCCATAGCCTTTTTCAGACTGTGGGGACAGTGGGTTGTTGGTCCACTGTGTCTAGGGAAAGGTATTGGAAGTTGGAGCCCATCCCTCTCCTTCCACTGCCTCTTACGTCCTCCACGGATGTCACATGTACCCATAAATAACTCCGCCTGATTGTAAAGCCTAAGCTAACTTTTGATTATTTCTTTTCTATATATAAGTTGTTAAGTTTTATTCTATACCTATCTATTTTACTATGATACTTATCGTTACCTTTTTGCCATACAATGTACCCTGTACAATTGTCGTGCAATAAAGTTCTTCGTCTATAAAAAAATAATATTTTTCAAGATCAAACAAAAAGTCGAAGACTTTACACCTTTGTTTTCAGACCATTTAGAGATGTTGAGAATTTCTTATTAACTATTGTGAATTTCTTGCTGATTATATCTATACTTCCCCAACTGCCTCTCAGTCAGCAGACATGTATATAGCAGGGAGTTGAAAGCAGGAACCCAGCCCAGACCCCGTTCTTACCTGTAGGTACAGAAGATCGCTTGCCCCCGGCGCTACGAGGTTGATGTAACAGTCCACGTTGTTCCCGTAGGTCCAGCTGATGTAGCCAGCCTGGTCCAGGGTGACCCGACTGCCACAGCGGGCTCCCATGTTAACTACGGACACAAAATCAACAGACAGGGTTATTGTGGCATGGGGGTTATTGTATCCAGAACTGTGTCTATCGTTCTATTTATTTATTTATTGATCTTAAAAACGGTTGGGTGGTACCTTCAGTTTAGGACAACTGATTTCCAAGGTAGCCCAACATAAGACAGAACAAGTTACAAAGGATATACATGTACATGTAGACAATCAATTACTTAAACATAGAGATAATAAATAATATGAACAAAGAGTACAAGTAGTCAATCATTGGAAACAGGACATGTCAACCGTTCTATGCCTGAATAGAACAGAATTATTACTATGATCTGGCACAGACCTGATCTCTGTTGTACCCAGAACTGTGCCTGTCTAGTTCTTTGCCTGAATAGGTTAGGGTTAGGATAAGGCACGGTTCTGGATACGCGCGTAGACTATCCAGAGCCGTGCCTGAGCATGGTTCTGGATAAAGCACGGTTCTGGATACACCTGGACTATCCAGACCCTTACTCAAGCATGGGTCTGGATAAAGCATGGTTCTGGATAAAGCATGGCCTGCATGCAACACATTCTTTCCCAGTAGTACAGAGTTATTGTTAGCAACGCAACCATAGCCTGTTATGGTTACGTCACACCTTGTGATAAACAATGGAGCGAAGTTCTCAGGTTTCGGTCATGCAGAAGTCGTCTGGCATTTTTAGGTTGTACACTGTAGAAAATACTCACAGGAAACTAGATAAAAACACAGATTTTCCAAACATCCGTCGTCCTGTACAATACTTTACTCTAACACGACTCCCAAACATACAATACTACCCACTGTTAGTCACACTGCTCACTTAACAGGTACATGTATGGTGGAAATGAGTACCCAGCTTCGACTAGCTAGGGACGTCCCTCAGATAGGACGTTAAATGGAGATCCCACCACACGTATTGAAAAGAGTAGGGGTCCTTCCTGGTGTGAGTGATTCAAACCTTACATTCTGTCTACTTACATTGTACAAAACTGGTGTGTTACGCCCAAAGGCGGTTTACCGGTTATGCGAAACAAACAAACACAGATTTGCACGCCCTAGAAATACAAACTATACAAGTCATGTACATGACATGTCCTCGGTTCCACGTGCGTGTGTATAATAAAAAGCTAGACTGCTGAAGCTGTGACACTGATCCACGCAAAATCTCTTCGTAAACAAGCTGAAGTTTCTTATTTTCCGCTTGTATCTAAAGTATGTCATATACATGTAACTTCGTCACTTATCAAGTCTAGTAGACGTTGCAATTGTCCTTGGGTGGACTGTGATATGTGGGGATGGCAACAAGACCATGCTCGAACTTTATGGATTTTGTAGACTGCTTAAAGTGCAAACGTGCATCGCAGAAACTGCAGTAGCAGTGGATCTGACATGCATGCATGCTCCCAAACCACCATGTAAAGCTCCCACAATCGCACAATTGTCAGACACTACAGTAATAGTACATTACAAAGCATTGGGCGGGACTTACTTGTGGTATAGTCCGATGACACAGTTTGCCATAGGGCCGCTAACAGACACCAGCTCAGCATTGTTTCGTAGTTATACCGAGAAAAGTCACTAACTTTCGACGAAGAAGTCTCTATAATTCTACAGCACCGGCCCAGTGTAGGTCTGGTGTTTTCACGGTGCCTGGTCGGGGTATGTTTACTTTGGAATAGAACACTTCAGTCGGGCGTGTTGGCTTTATATTCTGTACAATGGAATCACCGCGGTTTAGTTCACGTATACGAAGGCCTGCATGCCCTTTTTCGGAAGGCGTAATCAGGCATCTTTTTTTATCTTCGTAATCCGTAGACACCCTCCCAAAACATCGTAATTCGTAATCAATAGAGTAACTGTTCGTACGTAATCACCTCTCAGAATGTAACGTAATTCGTAATTGGCGGCAAAAATTTTGCGTAATTCTTAATCACTAGCCCCCCCCCCCCCCCACCCTACTACTACAAATTTGGCCGCCAACCGTGAAGGTGAAAACTATCAAACCTCCTCACGATGTCAGATTAGTCAGAGCAGGTAAGACTAAGTATATTTTGGAAACCACGTCAAGAAACAGTTACTCAAGCAACTGGATATGATTTGGGAAACGGTCAGACGTTTCAGATAGTATCCACTACCTTTCGTCAGTGTCAGAAAAGCAGGGTTATAAGTACAAACTATTGATTGATATACAAATAAGTGAAGACAATTTTTAGGATGTCCAATATATTGGAGACCCATGGGGGGGGGGCATGTATTTGGAGAAATTTGGGTCTAACAGAATCGTTCTCCACAGATGTGTGGGCGGGAAGCAGGAATCCTCTCCGGGTTTAGTCGTGATGACGTCAAGATCCGCTCCAGGTGGCGGGTATCGATTAAAAATAAACCTTCCCGGTACGGACTGGGCGAGATTAGGGCTGTCTGAAAATCTGCCATGGTAGCCTGACTTCCGGATAGAAATACTAGTATTTCAACCATCATAGTAAATCTTAGGTCATTTAGTTTAGATACCTCGGCACAATAGGACTGTACGTGGGAATGTATGAAACTCTGACATGGTAGCGTAACGTTAGCCTCCAACAGGCCTTTCTAAAAGTTATGGAGAGTAGAATTCAGCAAAAACAGTCGCCAGGCCTTTCTAAGGGGTTATGGATAGTTGAACCGTCTTGGTAGAATTCGGCAGAGATACTGTCAGTATAACTGGCCAGGTGGTGGGTTATCGAATAGACATAAACTATTTAAGTCTGTAACAACTCCTTTAGCACTCTGGTTTAGTCTGTAATTATTTAGCAAATGACGTTTCTTCTATATGTTTGTTTCGTTTTTATTTTGGGTAATCTGTATTTATTAGGCTATAGGGTATCAAAATAAATAGAGAATAATTTTGATTTATGAAAACAATACATTAAAAACCACTTACTAGACTCTAGCTATAAATCACACGACACAAATCGTTTTATTATGTTATAGTAGTTTATCTGATTTTCTAATTTTCTATTATAGTACCCAATCAGGTTTCTATTATGTTACATTTATTAAAGTGTATTCTGTGTGTTAATTTATTATCTTGAACATTGTTTATGTTACCGGTGGTATATAAGTTCAACCACGACTAAGTATCTATTACTACTGCTACTTTGTTTTATTTGAATAAGAAATACTCTACATAAGAACGATTATGATTCGCTAAAACAATAAATTAAAACCCACTTACTCCACGGCAGCTATTAATCAAACTGACAGAAATGATTAACGTAAACCGGCAGACGGATCCAGGTCTAACTGTGACCCCCCGCGGATTAACGATCAGAAGGCGACTGAGATTAATATCGGGGATTAAATACTCCAGAAACACGTGACGACGTCGTGTATTATGTATATATAGAAACGTAGCGCTGATGTTATCGTATATCCGAAAGGAAGTTTCATGTCGTAAAAACGGTAATAAAACCACTGATAGGAGGACCACATGTGCTGGGCTGGAAGGAGCAGAGGCATTTCTGAGGAAGGCACGGCTAGATCTGCGTCTGTGACCGGATGTGGGGAAGAGGCGAGGCACAGCTGACTTAGCTAAAGGTGGGTTTCAAAACTATTTTCATACCATTATTTCATTTGTCTATCTAGGTTTCAATTTTCTGTACATCAATTTTTCCGGTTTCTGTTACGTAATACTGTTGTACATGTCTTGAAACATAGTTTTGTTTAGTGATACCATAGATATAAGCCACTTTATGAAGGTGGGCGTTCAAGAACTCTTTTTGGTAGACGTTTTCAAGGTACAGTAATAAAAGTACGGCAAAGGATACCAAATGCTTTCAGTGAATAGATAGTAACGGTAAGACCTATTTTACCCTCCTTGGTAGGCGTTATGCAATGGCCAATGCCAACACCTTGTCTTAGAAAATGCAACACACTCGGAATTATACCTTTTCTCTATGTATGTTCGGAAAACAAAAATCTCCCGCTTGGTTATCAATCTCGATTTCGCCCTTTTCTATCTGCGGAGAGGAACAGCTATCATGTTATATGTTTGGATACCAGGCTAATGCTGTGCAATGTCGACACCAGTTAGCAGAAAAACATCACGCACGGAGTTCGAGCTTTTTTTCGATGTCTGCTCGTGAACTTATCCATCGTGGTTGACGAGAATTGTTCTTATTTAGGGAGAGAACCAGCTATTACATGATAGGTTTGTGTACCAGCCTGGCGCTGTGCAATGCTCATGCCAGTTATCGAAAGAGTATTACACGTTAGTTCCACCTTTTTCGAAGTCAAAAACCTCTCGCTAAGTGATCGACCGTAATTGACGAGTGGTGAAGGTTGCCAGTCGTCATGTGACCCGCGTGTTCCTAGCATCACGAGTTGGGCTGGTATTACCGACCAGACATGGAGTCTGCCAAACTTTCTGGTGCACAGGAGTTATAGGTGTGCCAGGACTATATCTCATGCTTAACTGGTAGCCTGGATGCCAGACTGTTTCTAGGGCCTACACAGGCCAGCTCCTCGGCTCTAGAGCCAACATGGTAGTCTGGGTACCAGACTGTTGCCAGGGCCTGCACAGGCCAGCTCCTCAGCTACAGGGTCAAAATGCAAGCCTGGATGCCAGACAGTTTCCAGGGCCTACACAGGCCAGCTCCTCGGATCCAGGGCCAACATGCTAGCCTGGATGCCAGACTGTTTCCAGGGCCTATACAGGCCAGATCCTCGGCTCCAAGGCCAACATGCTAGCCTGGGCACCGCCGAGACACAGTCTGCCAAAGTTTCAGCTGCACAGGAGTTATATGTACGGTATGGCGATATTTCACAGGTACAGGTACAGCACAATTGACGTATGAGCTCGGCAATGGATGGCCAATGCTTTTACATATTTGTGACCGATGCAGCTTGTAACCAGCGATGAGCAAAACTGAGACCGTCTGAAGCGGCCTGACCTGACGAGCAATGAGTAAAAAACGTCTGTCAGAAGCTGTCCGACCTGACGAGCTGACTGATCCAATATCTGCCCACATTTACAGCCTCACAGACGGGAAGACGGATGGTTGGGTCTATGTCTGCACCCGTAACCAATAACTCGCCTTCTAACATCCGGACGTGTTGATACCGTCTCGTGATAGATTGTTTAATGCCGAACCGAATCAATGATGGGAATGTCACATTGAAAAAAATAGGAAGCAAAATGTGTCTTGTACAGAGTACTTGACCTGCATCATACCCAGAACCGTTCCTATCTAGTTCTTTGCCTGAATATGATAGTCTCCATATATCCACGTAGATTTGCTCCGGACACGGTTCTGGATACGCGTGGGCTATCGAAAACCGTGTCTGAGCATGACTCTGGATAAAGCACGATTCTGGATACGTTTGTTTGAATGTTTGAATGATACTCTCCTTCCGCACCCGTAACCAATAAATCGCCTTCTAACATCCGGACGTGTTGATACCACCTCGTGATAGATTGTTTAATGCCGAACCGAATCAATGATGGGAATGTCAAATTGGAAAAAAAGAAGAAGTGCAATGCTGTCTTGTAAAGTGTACTTAACGTGTATCGTATCCAGAACTGTGACTATCTAGTTCTATGCCTGAATGGGTTAGGGTTAGGATCAGGCACGGTTCTGGATCGTCTCCGCTTATCCAAGAACGTAGATTTGCACATGGCCCGGTTATGGATTCGCGTGGACCCCCAAGAAACGTGCCTGAGCATTGTTCTGGATTCAGTAGAGCTTGATGGATTCTCTGTTTGATGCCAAAACTCTGCCGCCACGTCAGATCAATGATGAAACTGTCAATGAAGAGACTGAAAAATTAGAAACAAAAGGCTGTCTGGTACAGAACAATTGACATATTAGCTCGGCAACGCTCTTTCACAAAAAAAAGGAATATGTCAAAAATCGGAAGCATCCATTCGATATGAAGTAGAGAAAGCATTACGGAAATAATGATAACTTACCAAATGGATAAAACGAGACAGACAACTGTCTCTCTCTATATATAGTAATAGACGCCATAGATACATGGCAATAGGAGCCATTATTTGTATCTTGTACTTTTTACAACTGTGAAATAGAGGCCCAAGCCTGAGTGTTGGAAGATTGGTTTTGCTTCAAACTTTCGTCTGGGCACACCAGAGTGATGATAATGTAATGAGTGTAAAAGATATAAAAATAGCTGGATTTCTCTTCAGTACATCTAAATGTACGCCAAGTTATCTCTCCACAAAGGAAAGAAGCACCCGATTCTTGTCTTTGGAACATTCCGGCATCACGAACGGAAGAATATCCGCCGTAAATGTCGCACATTTACAGCCATTTCTGCACCATTGCGCAGTTTTCCACCCTCATTGTGCCTGTAATTTATCGCTGCAGATCTACACGATAGCAAAGCGATGTTTTTGAGGCGTTTTTTGGTGTAACTCTAACGATTTTCCCGACTTTATCTCTCGCCATGTTCCATAATTACCCACAGATAAGCCCGCCTTCTGTGTGAGCATCAGATTAGTGTAATGAAGTTCGATTGAGCTGCGCTGCCTTTTAACTTTTCTCTCTCACTTCTGTCTTTCCTCCAGCCGAAACAGGTCGCGTGCAGACGCTGTGCAGGTTTTCCTCAAGACTTCTGGGGATATTAAAGACATACTCGTCTGCCTGAGCGATGTGAGCCAAGCTTGGAATCACCATGATAACTGCACAGCGTACGGGAGAAGTGGTGAGGCTCTTCTACTTCATCAGGATTGTTGTAGTCTGCTTCTGCCTTGCTCCCTGCACACAGGCAAGCCTACCTCCAAGCGACTACCGGGGAACTGTGGAAGGAACCGGCCTGGATACGAATCGTGTAGAAACCTTGGATGAAAACAAGGATGAGTTCACCAGAAGGCAACTTCAACTTTACGAAAACGGTAAGGAATATCTGAAAGCGAATCGTGTGGAACCTTTGGATGAAACTATCCAGGAGTACGTAAATGTAAAACTGGGTGCGGACCGTGTTGGAGCGTTAGACGGCAATGATGATTTGACCAGTGACGATGTCGGCTCAGGGGCTGTCCACGAAGGTTCCTTTCTCTCCACCGAAGTCGATTCGACAGTAACTTCACTTAACGTGTCTTCAGTAAATGGAGAAGACAATAATAAGACCGATGGCAGCGCCACAGAGTCTCTTTGTCCGCAGTTTTGCTGTGTCACCAACATGTCGTGCTTCTACATCCTCTCCAACGCCACAAGGAAACCGGAGGTAGAGTGTACATGCGACGGCTTCCCAGGAGACCCGAAAACCTGCCACACGGAAAACCAGGCAATCTGGGAGGAACTCGTGGAATCGGAGGAAACCTCCCGGGGAATCTGCATAGAGTTTCATATGAAGAACGCGCTGAACGAAACCGGACATAAGATTAACTGCCATGTGGAGGGAGTGCAGGACTTTACCTTTAACATCGTACACTGGGAGAGACCGTTAGCCAGTAGTACTGGCAAACCGACTGTTCCACCGGACTCCCAGGAGGTGTGGCTGCATTACCGCCCGTGCGTGCTGTATATAGAAGTAAACAGTACGATGCCGCCCATGCCGGCTGGGATCAACAAGACGATACAGTTAGTTGTACAGTACATCGGAACCGGACTGTGTTTCATCTTCATCGGTATCATCATGACCTCGTGCCGCAGGATCAAGGTGGACATGTAAGGGCATAAAAACTCATTCCAAGCAACTGGATGTGGTTTTGGAAACAGTTAGACGTTTCTGGTAGTATCCAGATCGTGGTTGCATACGACTGCAAACTGGAGCATTTTTTGACAGTTGAACATATGTTGAACAAGTAACATTGACTATGAATACGTCGGTGGAGGTTAGACATCCAGGTAATAAGATACGCAAAAAAAAAAGGAAGCGACTGAATATGGTTTTGGAAACGGTCAGACCTTTCAGGTAGATCCAGGGCGTGGTTATATAGGACCGCAAACTGAAAACATGCCTGGGACAGTTGAGCATATGTTGGACACAGTTCAGTGCCTGTCCTTGGTGCTGAACAATTCACTGAGATGTTCCTACCGGTCGTTAGAATCTAAGTAGAATTCGGGCGCTCTTGTGAGAATGTTCATCATTTAACAATAGCGCAGTTTCTAATTAGACTTCAAGAAATGGTGTAAAACCCGTGTAGGTATTTCAGCCTTAGAAAAAAGTACGGATGCAACCAAGAGATCAGAAAAATGAAACTAGATCTATACAACTCACAATGAAGCCTTAAGCATAGCTGTATACAAACATACAGAGGACACAGACTATTAGTAGAATGCGTCGATGAAGGTTAGACATCCAGGTAATAATAAGATACGCCAAAAGCAGTTACTAAGGCAAATTGTTATGGTTTTGAAAACGGTCAGACGTTTCAGGGATCATCCACACTAAGGAAAGGTAGTGGATGCTACATGAAACGTCTCACCGTTTTCAAAATCATATTCAGTTGCTTGAGTAACTGTTTTATTGGCGTATTAGTAGAATGTACTATTTTACCGTAGACAATCCAGTGCCTTGCTGATGATACAGTTTAGCACTCACTAGATACTTCAGGATGCCAACATAATATGCAAACATACATTTATGTACTTAGTAGACGTTGTTTTAAACTTTAAGGAAACGTTAATGAAGAGATACTAGCGTGTAACATCGTGAGATTATGTACATATCATAAGTTAGAAACCTGCAACTTGAATTGCAACTGTATACTGTTTGTATGTGACTGTTGTGTTTTGTTGTGTAAAAACAGGGCCCTATTGAAAAGAAGTGCAATCACTTAATGGGCCACCCTATATAAAAATGACGGCAAGTAAAAATAGAATAAACAAAATTTGCTTATATAGTCCAAAAACGCTGATTCGCTGAATGCACTATGAAACAGCAGACAACTTTATCTGTTACCAATGTCAACACCAGTGTTAATGTTACATGTGAATTGATGGACCTTACTGTAAAGAATTGCGTACAATTTCGCCTGTAACGCCACGGTTGTGAGCTGTACATATAGATAACAGAAACACACCCCACTTTCCTCACCGCAGGTTACTTCATTACGTTTCATATGAGTGATTATATCATATTTACGTTCCAGAACTCGTGTTTTTTTTACTACGACTCTATGATTGGCATCATCATGTTAATTAAAATCGATACGTGTCGCCTCCTCCCTAGCCTGGCTGGTGAGAGAAGATAACGTTTTTCTCTGATGTTTTTCGTCTTTTCGACTTTATAGATCCCTCGTACGGATTGTCGTGGGACGATTCATGGGGGACAGTGTTATTGTAGACTGTTGATACTTTTTATTTATTCATTGATTCGGCTGGTATAAAACAGCCAGGGCAGCCCAACTAGCTTGAAGCTAGTATTAAGGGCTTGTCCTGGGGAAAAAGTGTGGTTAAATACATACAAGTGACATAAATTCTTAAAAACGTCTTAATTACATAGGGTCAACAAATTGTTGACTGTTGATGGAGGTTAGACATCCAGGTAATACAATACGCCAAAAAGCAGTTACTCAAGCAACTGGATATGATTTTGAAAACGGTCAAACCATTTCCAAAATCATATCCAGTTGCTTGAGTAACTGTTTTTTTTGCTTATTGTAGACTGGTTTGATATTTCTCAAGATGAGACAGCCGCATTGGAGGGCTGAATTGTTAGGCTATTTATAAAAATATCAGTCATAATTGTTGTCACCATTTAGTGGAAAACGAAAAATTCACCTATTCAACATAAAAAATTCTAAAATTATCATTTGAATTAGATTATTGATATAAATGTGAGAGGAAAGAAGTTATGAAGCCACAGGAACTTCGCTGGTGAGAGAAGATAACGTTAACGATAACTGCTGATGTTTTTCGTCCTTTCTATGTTATAGATCAGACCTATGGTTTGTCATGGGACGAGTCATGGCGAGATAGTGTTATAGATATAAATGTCAGAGGAAAGAAGTTGCGAAACGGCAGGAAATTCGCGTTAGCGTTGTCAATTAATATTGTAGGAAACCCTGTGGGAGCAGAGGCGTACTTTTTCTTGTCTGTTTATAGAAGATATAGTGGGTGGTGACAAGTAGGAAGTCCGAAAAAAAGAAATTGCCTCAAGTGTTCTCACAAAGGAATGAGAAATCTAAGGTATAAACTAAAAATGACTGGTTTTCTCATATCAATCTAAAAAACGTTCAAACTTATCAAATGATTTTTCGGGACCTTAGATGCTTTATTGTACATGTTAAGTGGTGATATTCTGTTTTAGATAATAGAATATCCTTTGGTCTTTTTCTGATCCTCATGCAGTGCTATGCAAGTTTCGAAAGGTGGCGCACATCACAAAGTCACGCGGCTTGAAATAATGCATACTTTTACAGTTTCATATTTATCCTCCTGTAGCTGCAGTGCTAACCTCCTGGTTCCATGATGAAGTGTTGCACGTTACTTTTACACTTTATAGTGAGCCTCCAACTCCCCCAAGTATAAACCAAGAACGTTATCATGTACAAAGCGGCTTGACATAACACATTACTTTTACACATAGTTTAATATTTATCACCCCTGAGCTGCAGTGTTGACAAACGACTTGTGAGAACGGATCACTTCTACAGCTTAGTATTTATTATCCTGTAGCTCAAGTGCTGAGTTCCTATAACCTCTGCGTTCCGTGATGAAGTGTTGTACGTTACTTTTACACTTGATAGTGGGCCTCCCACTCCCCCTTGTGTAAAACAAAAACGGTGTCATGTACGAAACAACTTGTTAGAATACATTACTTTTACAGCTTGGTATTTACTATACTGAGCTGGAGGATTGATCCTAATCCCCTGTTCCGTGATAATGTTTTGTACATCACCTTTAACGCTTAAAAAACTGAGAGCGAAGTACCACAGAGAACGGTATCATGTACGAAACGAATGACTTTTACAGCTTAATATTTATCCTCCTGTGCTGAGTTCCTGAGTTCCTACACTCCGATCTCCATGATGAAGTGTTTTCCAGCGGTAGCGGCGCCGGCACGATTTTTCCCATTCCCATGGTAACTACTCCCGGCCCCATGGCAACGGCGGATCGAACCATTTCCCGGTAATGGTGCCCATCAGCTCCCGCGTAACGCACAGCTAACTGTCCCACCGGTACAACGGCGCTTTCCCTGTCTCATGTGAGAGAACGTTATCAATAAGGCACGCCTCTTTAGAAGGCCTAGGGAAAATGTGTTTCCTGTTTCAGTTTTGAATAAATTAGGGTCGGTAGGTAGGGATTATCTTTCGACTTTGGCAATCTCAAGTGATCAACTTTAAATCCATTTTAACGAATACAGTTTAATAAAGTAAAACTTGCATGAGGACACTTTTATTTTTCAATGCCACTATATATGCCAGTATTGGAAAACTGATTGTACAATGTTTCATCACTCAGGTGTCAGATCATGGAGCTAGAAAAGGTTGATCAGCTCGAAATATTTATGTCTCTTCCAGGAGTCCACCAAAAAAGTCGAGGGTCGGCAGGTTTTTCTAAGGTCAGTCGGGAAACAGGAAACAACATTTTCCCCGAGGCCTAGCAGTCCCCTCGGTACAACCGGCGCGTTTCCATGCCCCACGTGGGAGTCCGTTCCCGATAACTCGCGCCGGAGGCTCCTCTGAAGTCGGGCGGCAATCCATCCTCAGCCGGCCCGAAGGGTCCACTGAGACCGCCCGGTGCGTGGCCTCTATTCGTGGACCTCCCGGAAAACTGGGTCCGACGGCTGACCTAGACCTTCATACATGTAGAGTATCGATCCTGTTTCGCCTGAGCACAGTCTAATGGCAGGACCTGCGTTCAGACGAGATGTACCGATAACTCTACTCAGGGCCGATCATCTGTTTCATGAAATTGAGAAGGAAATATGGGAAGCGTGGAGACTCAGAGACGTACAATGTCGAATCGGCTCAGTTTGTCGATACAAGCTTTGTACATGTTTGTACATGTTCGTACAACGTCGCAGTCTGTATTCAGACTAGATTTGCCGATAAGTCTACTCAGGGCCTCTCATCTGTTTCATGAAATCGAGCGGGAAATATAGGAAGCACGAAGGAAATATAGGAAGCATAAAGAGCCAGACACGTAAATATGTCTAACCGGCTCAGTACGATTGTTGATACAAGCTTTGTACATGTTTGTACAATGTCGCATTCAGATAAGATTTGGCGATAAGTATTTTACTCACTGCCTCTCATCTTTTTTAGGAAATCGACAAGGAAATATAGGAAGCGTGAAGAGCCAGACACGTAAAAATGTCGAACAAAAGAAGCGGCTCAGTACGTTTATCGATACAAGCTTTGTACTTGTTTGTACATGTTTGTACAATGTCACAGTTTGTACTTAGACGAGATTTGCCGATAAGTAGTCTAATCACTGCCTCTGACATCTGTTTCATGAAATCAAGAAGAAAATATAGTAAGCGTGAAAAGTCAGACACGTAAAAATGTCGAATCGGCTCAGTACGTTTGTCGATACAAGCTTTGTACTTGTTTTACATGTTTGTACAATGTCGCAGTCTGCATTCATACATGATGTGCCGATAAGTAGTCTACCCACTGCCTCTCATGATCATCTGTTTCATGAAATCAAGAAGGAAATGCAGCAGGCGTGAAAAGTCAGACACGTTAAGATGCCAAACCCAAAAAACGGCTCAGTACGTTTGTCGATACGAGCTTTGGACTTGTTTGTATAAAGGCGCAGTCTGCATCAAGATTTGCCGATAAGTAATCTAATCACTGCCTCTTATCTGTTTCATGAAATCAAGAAGGAAGTATCTGTATCAATATAGCCGGTATAACCGCCCTTCGGCGTAACGCGCCAGCTATATGGGTAGAGCGAAGGGCCAGACACGTAAAAACGTCGAATCGGCCCAGTACATTTATCGATACAAGTTTTGTGCTTAGCAGCAGCAGTCTGCTATGCTATTAGTGACGCAAGTTCATCCGCCCATGACTGTGGGATAGGAAGGAAATTGCCTTGTGTATACACAGTAGAACGCTTCTGTTTTTGTGACTCTGCCAAATGTTCCCCATCCGTCAGGCACTTCGCTGTGTCCTTTCCAATGATTCGGTTGATGCGTTGTAAAATGGCAGAGATGAGAGTCGGCATATTTCATTATTGTTTTATGTTTTTTGGTATTGCGGTTTGATTTAACGTGCACATGGATACGGTATGACAAATGAAGATATTTTGGAACAGTTATGGAAACGTTGCGCGGAGTGAGTCTTGGATTCTTCTGAAAGAATTACTAGGTCACACTGCGTATGTATGTTCACGTATTGCCTGCGTATATTGTAGTATAGCATGCCCATTTTGTCGTATTGCCTGCGTATCTTGTCTTATTGGCCATGTAGGTTATCGTATTGCATGCGTATCTTGTCGTATTACCTATGTATCGTGTCCTGCTTCTTTCGTCATCTTCTCGCACAGCTGACGTAATCTTGTCGTATTGCCTACGTAGTTTTGTCGTAGCCTGACGCAGCTTGTCCTACTACTGACGTATATTTTGTCGCACTCCGCACAAATTTGTGATCATCACGAAATCACCAGTTCTTTCATAACCGAACACGCAATATTCCTGTCGACATTTAGATTATTGGCGAACCCATCAAAACACCAATTTCTGCGAACGCAATCTGAGAAACCAGCGTTTATAATCCTACATCGTACGTGATAAAACCCGCGAACATTTAGGCCTGCTGAGTCTGGCTGTATTTCCCAAAATGTCAGATATTCTCCGGCTCATTCCTGGTTATTTCATTACTCTGTGTGCTTATATGCTGACTACATGGTGCTTACAACAGTAATGATAATCTTACAAGACTGAAGAATGACTACTAAGATCTTAACTAAATTTTCAAAAATGTCAGATTACTTTAGTATGCTTAGCTCATTCCTGGTTATTTGATGATACTGTGTGTGCTAGTATGCTGACTACATGATGCTGACAACAGTTATAAAAATTATCGAAAGATGGCTACTGCGAATTTTACTAAATTTCTCAAAATGTCACATTATCCTTAGCTGGTTCCTTTTAATTTGATCACAATTTGTGGGCTTATCTGCTACCTACATGTGCCCATGATTTTGTTGCTATGATAAACTTTAAGTCGGAAGAATGACTAATCCGAGTTTGGCTCTATTTCCCTAAATGCCAGCTCTTTATCGGCTGATTCCAGCTAATTCCTGTTTATTTTATGATCCTGTGCAAATCTGTAGCTGCTACCTACACATGTCCACGGTTATAAAACGGAGGGGGGTCTGTCTCAAGTTTGGCTGTATTTGGCTGTATTAATTACCAGACTCAACAATTCAGCCGAATGCATCTCTGCTGCCAGTGGGTCCTGGGATTTATTTGTTCATCAACAATAATAAACCAGTCTAAAAAAATTCCCAACATGTCAAAGCTTATTCCTGTTAACTTGATCACTCTGTGTGCTAAATTACTGCCTACATAATGTCCATGATGTTGTCTACGGTTGTGATAGTATTGTTACATGCTAGAGAAAATTGCAAGTTAGTAGGTCGGTACCCTCCCCTGATAAATAACGTATAAGCCCGGAATGGAATATCGAGGTCAGGAAGGCATTCCAGAGGGGAGAGGAGAGTCTGTCTCAAGGTTCCAGAGAGGTGGGACGTGGAAATAAAGCCTGGCAACTTGCAACTTGAGTCTCCGCTTCTTCAATCGGAAAAGAAAACTCTAAGTGTTGTACGTTAAAAGTATAACTGTCTCGAGTTTGGCTCTATTTCCCCCAAATGCCAGATGTCTTCAGCTGATTCCTGTTTATTTTATGATCTTTGCTAATCTTCAGCCTACATATGTTCAGAACTCTGCCCACGGCTATGGTAGAAGGATGGTATCATGTCACAAGGCGGAAGGGCCATTGCTACCGCTTTAGCGCTATTTCCCAACACGCCAGATATCTTCAGCTGATTCCTGTTTATTTTATGGTTCTGTGCTAATCCGCTGCCAACATATGCTCATGATTGCGCTCAAGGCAATGGTAGAAGGATAGCACCATTTCACGAGGCGTCAGGACTTACATGTAAATGTGAAGTTAATACTTTCCTCAGCGCAAAACTCTGACAGCGTTCTGTGTAGGCAGTCTGGCTGCTAATGTTAATGGCTCTGTCCCTAGTGCTGAATCTGTGGTGGTCATTAATATTCTCCCTGCTGCCAGATCCAAGAACCAATACCCGAGTAGTTAACTTAGCATGTTGAAGGTTAAGGTAACATAGATGCATACCTTACCACGAGTTCTGTTTCTATATCAATTTAACCTTCTCCCTGCTGCCCAACCCAATAACCAACACAAATCTGGTGCCAGAAGACTACCTATGCAAACTGAAGGGTTACCCAACTCTGTGTGTGTGGTAGTGTGTCAGCCTCCATGAGGTGAGTTCTGTACCGCATGAATCATTGATTGCTGTACTTGATGCCAACTCTAACAAGACCAGGGGGACCGGCCTGAATGATCATTATTAACCTTCTCCTTGCTACATAGCCCTATAAACAACACAAATCTGGTACCAAACAGCTACCTAAGCATGGTGAAGGTTAAACCAACCCGTGCTGTGTGGTAGTGTGTCAGCCTCCATAAGGTGAGTTCTCTACAGCATTAAACATTCATTGCCGTACTTGATGACAACTCTAACAAGACCAGCGAGACCAGCGTGAATTATCATTATTATTAACCTTCTCCATGCTACATAGCCCTACAAACAACATAAAATTGGTGCCAAACAGCTACCTCAGCCTGCTAAAGGTTAACCCAACTCTTGGTGTGTGGTACTACTGGTAGTGTGTCAGTGTCTCTATGAGGTGATTCTCTACTACATGAATCATTGATTGCCGTACTTGATGCCAACTCTAACAAGACCAGCTGGACAGGCGTGAATTAGTACAATGTATTATTAACCTTCTCCCTGCTGCCTAGCCCTATAACCAACACGGCATTGGTGCCAAACGGCTACATTAGCAAACTGAAGGTTACACCAACTCTTGGTGTGTGGTACTACTGCATGAATCATTGATTGCCGTACTTGATGCCAACTCTAACAAGACCAGGGGGACCGTCTTGCATTATTAATGCTGTAACCGGCCCCATTGTATCGGTCCGGCTGCTCTTTCCGGACTCTTCTGGGTTTTCACGGGAAGGAGATCGATACAGCTGGAGGGTAGGATCGACAAGAAGTCTTGTTACCTTAGTGGTATAGTCAGGTTATGCACAGGTTAGTCTTGCTGGAAGTTCGAATCTCTGAAAGGTAGTCCAAGGCACCAAGTCTAGAAATGGAGCAGCTTCTGTACCATCCGAAATCTAATTCAAAGTATAATCATTTAAATATATCTCTTAAGGGTAGCAGTAGCAGTGTGGTCATACTTAAGTAGGCTAATTCATTTTCAGTCTAGTTGTCTTATCTGGAACAGGGTGAAGTGCATATATAGGCAGTTATAATAATCATCAATGATAAAAAAGTAAGCCTACATTGAAATATACATCAAAATAACTCATATCAATCATAAAATGCTTTAGAGTTATGAAAAAAGAAGCCTTTCCATCCCACAGACAACCCTGAGTGATAACCCGGGTGACGTGAACCAACAGTTTGAATCTCCCGTCTGCCCACATCCTGGTGTAGCCAGCGTAGTCCTAGCCTGGTTACCATTCTCCACAGGCACAGGCCTTCTTAGTCCTTCTGATCATAGGCCTCTACTTACACGCTAGATAGTTCAAGCCGGGCTTTGTAATCATTCCCATTAATCCCAATTATTCTTCGTAGGCGAAACCGACCCCGTGAAATCCCTCGGCGTGTGCTAGTGGATCTGGGCGGGCGGGCGGTACTTCCAGCGCCGTATACATACCGCGGAGCCTACGGTGGCCTGGCTACGGGGCTAGGTCTTAGTCACGGCATGCTCCCACACAACTAGCGGTATTTCCCTGCCACCCAGCCGGCTTGTCCCTCTGTCAGACACGGCTCTGTTAGCTAATGCGGACCGGCATTCCCACATGGATCTTTGTTAAGGGGAGCCGCGAGGACGAAATTCGGTCATCAAGCCGAACAGGGGTGAGTGCCAAGTACCAGATTACCTCATAGACTGAGATTTTTACTCGTGATTTCGGATAACCAGGTATGCTATACATGTACGGTAGTAGTAAGAGCTATACGGATGTGTCTGCATAACATGTTATTAGATACTATAGATCTCTCAGACATGTATCTTCACTAACCAGTCATTAAGCCGAACGGGTGAGTGCCAAGTCCCAGATTACCTCTTAACGCTAGACAGAGATGTTTACTCGTGATTTGAGGTAACCAGTTATGCTGTACATGTACGGTAGTAGTAAGAGTTATAAGGATGAGCTATCTGCCTAATATGTTATGAGATACTAACCGCGAGGGCAAAATTCGGTCACTAAGCCGAAAAGGGTAAGTGTCAAGTGCCGGATTACCTCTTTGATGGAGATTTTTACTCGTAATCTCAGATAGCTGGGCTGTATGCATGCTACACAGTAGAAGTCAGTAGTACGGTAGTGGTAAGATGTGTTTTCTTGTAGCGTGAGTGTGTGTCATTACATCGATCCCTGGCCGGTTACATGCGGGCGGAGAGAAGATAACAGGATAATTGGAAGGTTCCAGTCGTATTGACTGTCTGAGGCTGTGTTTGCGTGTGGGTACGTAGATTCACTGTTCCTTAGCGCCACAACGGAATCAGATAAGGTTCCAGGTAAGTTTGCCATGTAAGTAACCCAAGCCCTTTTTACAAGTCGATGAGGATTAGACATCTAGGAAAACGTTTTAGACATCCAGGTAATAAAAATACTTTATACCTTACAAATTAAATAGCTCAATACGCATAATAGAGACCTTATCTACTTGTGTGATTTGTATCGTGTATCTCTTGGCATTCTCCTATTTTTGAATAGTACAAGAGGGTTAAGCTTTTATATTGGGACTGGCATTAAATTTTTTTTTAATGTCAGCCCAACGATTATATTGGCAAATGGTCACTTTCTGGCCAATGGATACTGCCTGGTCAATTTGATACTGTCTTGCAGCCACCGAAAGATCTGCTTGGAGATTAGCTTAACGTTACGTACCCATAGCTTGAGTTGAATAGTTTAGACCACGTCTACGCAGTACATATACAGTTCCCAGATGAGTGCTCAGCGCACAGGCAACATTGAACATCCCATCGCGTTACAATAGAAGGTAGATGTCCATGTTAATGGCTACTGACACGCGGCAGAAATATGATATGTTATGCATGCCATGGACCGTTTTACTCCATAATATAATAACAAATATCCGATAAACTTACAGAGAGGGACTGTAAAGGTTTATCATATCTGATTGTTATCATAATTCACGATTGATCACATATGTAATATCTGCAGACACCACTTAAAAACGGCTAGATCTAGCCGTAGCCGACGTAGAACAGATGTGTTAGCTTTCGCACGGTACATCTATACTTATTCTATAGTCTGTTACGGAATGGTTTTCCTATGACTGCGTCTGACTGGATTGTTACCATAGATTGACTTTGGCCATTTTCGGGAATGAAAAAATAAAACTGGGAGTCAGGCAGCTGTGGATGATGCCGGCATTGGAACAACCTGACCGTTTAATATGTCTATAGATAAAGATAAAAAAAGACTTCTTACAGCAAGACTTGATTTAGCGATAGTAGCAGCTGCCAACAAAGAAGGACCCAATATGAAAGCACTTGTCCGCTTCATATAAACTACAACATCCGCTAATATTTGATGACGGTTCACGATCAGAAATGAGAATAATTGATGACGACTTAATTCCTAATCCATATCCGAAGTCAATGAGGACAAGACAAGGTAAAAATGCATCTTACAACAATAATATAGCAGCCAACAAAGCGGACCCAATATGACAACATTCGCCCGTTTCATACAAACTACAGCGTCTCCTAGTTTTTGATGACGGTTCACGATCATAATTGATAATAATTGATGCCGACTTAGTACCAAATCCATGTCCAAAGTCTAATCGCAAACGGAGCAACATGACGACTTCATCAATCACAGGAGCTGATCATTGAACATGACTGTCTATAGATAAAGATTTAAAAAAAAAGAAGTCTCAATATGACAGCACTTGCCTGTTTCATACAAACTCCAGCACTTGCCAATTTCTGATGACGGTTCACAATCATAATTGATAATAATTGATGACAACTTTACTCCAAATCCATGCCCGAAGTCTAATCGCAAACGGAGCAAAATGAGGACTTCATCAATCACATCACATCACGGCTACGATAACGATCAGAAAATCAGGTCAAGCAATAAAAACCTCCCGGTCCGCAGTTTTAGCTGACGACAATGCAATAGTTTTTCCACATGAGATCGTTATGCGAAGGCATATTTGAAGAATCTAGTATTCAGTCAATAAGGCGATATTTCGCCTTTTCGTTGATAAACATGGTGCAAAGCAAAGTGGTGATGACTTCTAGCAGTAACTGTTCAGTGTAGGTTTACTCTGTCGGTAGGTGTAGGTTTACAAGGCAAGAAGCATCCTCTTTACAATGAGAGGGAAGGATTTGCGTCGTAAATCTATCTTAACACACTTTAAAAGCAAATGGTAAAAAGAGAGCTTTGTGAGAAAACAGAAAATCAGTTCAAGCAATAAAAACCTCCTGGTTCGCAGTTGCAGCTGACGACAAAGCAATAGTTTGTCCACATGAGATCGTTATGGCCATAAATACATCTTTGAAACTCCGAATCCAGTCAATAAGACGATATTTAGCTTTTTCTTTAATGATAAACAAGGTACACAGCAAAGTAGTGATAACTAGCAGTTCCCGTTCAATACGGCTTTACACAGTCGGCCAAGACAAACCATAATGCAGCAATTGACGTGGTAAACTTACACCCCCTTAAAAGACAAATTAAAACTTTCTTATAAAGAAAGAGAAGAACATAGACTGTACTGGCACCTTATTTCTTACTAAAGGCAGAAGTTTACCCATATTATTGCTGACACACGGAACTTGTAATGCGTTAAACACACAGGAAACGTCTTCTGTTTGATGATAGAAAATTGTCCAGAGGCGTCGGCGCGCATTCCGCCCGGCAGACGGGTAGACGCTCCGTAATTTGTTAAGTGGCCAATTACGCCGTAACCGGGAAGCGCACCGGGCGATCTTACAGGCATAAATAGCCGGGCAGACCGTAACGGCCGTCAGGAGATGGATGGATGCTCAGAACGGCGGGGACAGAGATGGAATGGTCCCTGTGGGGTCTGTGGCGCATGCTCGACTCGGAACCATGAGGTCCCGAGTTCGAGTCCTGACATGCCACCGATCTTGTGCCCTTGGGAAAGGCACTTTACATGACTTTCCCTACTTCGCTGAGGTGGAAATGAGTACCTAGCTTCTGTTAGAAAAGGACGTTAACTGGAGGTCCCGTGTTTGGGGAGAGCCACAAAGGTCGTGTGGGGTCGTGTGGGGTCGTGTGGCGTAGCGGCAAAGTGCTCGACTCGGAACCAAGAGGTCCCGGGTTCGAGTCCTGACATGCCACCGATCTCGTGCCATTGGGAAAGGCACTTCACACGACTTTCCCCACTTCGCTCAGGTGAAAATGAGTATTGTATTGTCCCCTGTGTTGGTGGTGACATTAGTTGAAAAAAACAACTTGAGTGTGCCGTCACCACGTCTTGTGACTACATGTTGGAATATAAAAGAAGAAAAAAAAAAAAGATCTCTACAGTCAGCCGTAAGTAGATGGATGTAAATTCTTCCCGGCGTGGGCAGTGATGAAACGGTCCCCCCAGCCCGCCGCGCGCCGAACCTGTCAGACAAGAGGAATGAACAAACCGGTTTTACGCGGGTAATTGTAGGCGATATAAATCCGCCGCGTGAATTATTGATGGGGGAAGGAGTGATGAATGTCCGGACAGGCGCGAACTGAACATGTTCTGGCAGGCCCATAAGGACAGATGCTCGAGGTTATCGTCTCATAAGCCTGTATAGAAGTGGAAAGTTTCAATAAGTGCGTCTGTAGTTGTACTACTAGACTCCATTGTTGGTTGCTGAAGAAAAAGTCAAATCTACCGTCGATAATAGTTTGGCAGAGGAGTTAGCAACTGAAAGTAACAAATAATTCACCCTATTTGGCCAAATTTTACTACCATTTAGCAAGCAAATGAGTTAAGCAGAAACTGGTAAATATGTTCTGTCAATGGCATGAATGGGGTGTCATTCTATATACAGTGTGAATAATAAATGAAATGATACAGTGGATTCTTGTACCCGTTCTGAGAAGGTTATCTACCTAAACTTCCCAGCAAACTGCCAGGCTCTGACTTACAGATCTAACCTGACGCCTTAACTGTGACAGATGCCATCCATACCGCTCCATCTGACAACTGATGTTTATAGGTGCAGATTTACCGTGAGTGAGAGACAATGGTTAGCGCGATGTTCCTGCATTATTAATGATAAAATATCACGCTTAGCCCTGACCCAAGCCACGACTTCAGGGCGCTCAGGCGGGTAGGGTAATAGCCAATAACATAACATATAACCCAATAACATAACATATAACCCAATAACATAACATATAACCCAATAACATAACATATAACCCAATAACATAACATATAACCCAATAACATAACATATAACCCAATAACATAACATATAACCCAATAACATCACATATAACCCAATAACATCACATATAACCCAATAACATAACATAACACAATACCATAACATATAACTCAATAACATGACATAACCTAGTAACACAATATATAACCTAATAGCATGCCATATAATCCAATAGCAAACATGTAACGGCCAGCTAGTGGTAGTAAATAAAAGTCAGGTATGGTAATGTCATTTACTACCATTGTAAAATCCAAAATTACCCGACTTTACTTTAATTTACTACCATTGTAGTAAGTTCCGTACTGTTCACAAAGTAAGCATTACTTTACACACTTTACAGGCATTAACCACCATTAGCAAGTCCAACTTTTCGTGCAGTACCCCAGTGTTTACCTTACAGTCCACACTCTGACTC